GAGGAGCTTACAGTCCTAAAATCATTATTTAAATTGTCTTGACAATACCTACAAACTGCAGTGGCAGACAGCTGACCAGTGAAAGGGAAAGTTTAAGTCCATGTGCCTGTATTTAATCACCATGTGCATCCCATTGTTACTCTTAACAAGTATCTGGCATCTGTAAGTAAGTATCTGTGCATGTAATGGTTTTTTTTCACCCTTCTATTATACTGTGCCATTGTGACACTTTTAAAATTTAGCACTATACATAGGTTTACATTGGTCTCAAGGCTGTATGGTGTGCCGCAGACATCTTTAACATTATATGTATTTTAATGTTTCAGTGAAAAAAAACAAAAAACATAGCGCAAGCTTCGGCGCTAGGCTTCAGGGCATTTTGACAAGTATAAGTACTTGTCAAAATGCCCTGTATCGGGCCTGATTCCGATGCTTATTTCAGACTATGAACTTTTTCAGCAAGTACAGAAAATATCTGTTGGTCTGTCCTTGTCACTTCCAGTGAATTGATCTGAAATCACAAACTTCCTTGCAAGCTGTCTTCTGTAAACTAATAATGTCATGTCATGAAGATGAAGATCGAAGACATGCTTGCAATCCAAATCAGGAGAGCAGCCTGGGATGACAACCATGGCTTCCTCCATAGATAAAGTGGAAAGAGCGTAGGCACCTTAGCACATGAAGTGTTATTTGCAGAAATATTGGGTGTAAATAAAGGAAAAGAAGGCAACACATCTAAAGACTGGTTAGCTGCAATATATTACAAATTAATTTTTTGGTTTAGATGATTTTTTTTGCCCAAATTTGCCTTTATGTTGGCTTTTTAAATAAAAAAATACAATTATTTAGAGGTTGGATGACCAATTTAGAGGTTGGTCTGATGTATAAAGGTCTATAAAGAGGTCCCAAAGAGGGACAAAGGGATTTAGTTAGAAAAGATGGACTGTCCCTCCAAGATGGACAGTTGGTGGCTATGAGTTGAACTTGATTGGGTCATCTTTTTATCAGCCAGGTGAAGTATGTCACAGGAAAACAATAGGGTATAATATGGACATCTTTAGGTACTTATGTTAAAAAATAAAGGCTACCTGGCTTTTGTAATGCATTGAACTAATGATCCCTTTTGGTGGAGCAGTTTTTTCATTGTCCTCCAGTGCATGGTGAGAAATCAGGTTAGAATTCAAACAATGTCACTTTTCAGTGTTCCTTTTACTTGTAATTAATATATCTTTTCAAAACACAGACAGAAACAGATACTATAAGGCCTTGTTCAGATATTTGAGTTAAAACATGCATACATTTTTAAGTTATAGTTTAAAGGAGAACTATGAGGTGAGTGCTTTTCACTCATTCTCATAGTTCTAGCCGACCTGTGACAAATAAACTGTCACAGGTCGGCTCAGTAGATCGGGAAGTGAGCGAACACATACCGGCGTTCGCTTACTTCTCGATCCTGTCACGGCAGAGAGCCGTGACAGGGGAGGGACTGGATTCCCTCCTCCCCAATCCGATCCTCCAGCGCTGACTGGCGGAACGAACGGGGGAGGGGGCGTTTACAGCTGGCTCTGCCTCTAGATTGGCAGAGCCGGCTGTCACTCACACAGCTGGGGGGATCCAGACAGAATTGTCGGGATTCGTTTCAGCTGCGGCGTCTCATTATACCGTGAGCTGCAGCTCGCGGTATACTGAGCTTTGGGTAACGGGAGGACGCTAGTTTGTGTGCTCCCGTTAGTGTACAGGAACACCAAAAGTGTACAGGAACACCAAAACAGCTGACCTAAGACTGGTCATACAGGGCCCAATACAAGCAAACAATATACTGTAACTGATTTGAGCTTAGCAGTAACAATCAAGTGATACAATGTAGAGGTGACCATCAGATAAGTCAAACAGAAGTCTTTGTGCTTACATGACGACAAGCGGATGTCTTAGGCTCTGGCCATCCCATATTACAGCATAGCTAACATTCCAAGCCTTTTTTTCGTGTTGTAAAACTGGTGCCAGAATTTCTATGTAAGCCATAATATAGACATTATCACCTTTTATATGTGATTTTATTGTCCCCTTATTTACATTGTTTAAACTTGAAAGTGCGGGCAGCTTGCTCTTTGCCTGCTTTCTAACAGTCTGTGTAAATTTTACAAGCTTTTCTTGATTTCACTTACGTCATACCAACACATGAAGCAAATATATGTACTAATATACTATACTTACACCACCCACACACACATTCTTCAAAAGTCATTACAAATATATTTAAAAACCACAAGAATAATTATGTGAAATCTGTCATTATATTGGCTTACCAAAATCCCTAGAATAACAGAAATAAGGCTGAGGTTGGAAGTGCCAGCACTACGAACTATCTGACTATAGCATTGAACATGGCATCCTAATAGGCTGTAGGCACTGGGTGGTTAAGGAGCTGGTGTTTAGACAGAATACAGAAGGATAAATTCAGCACATGAATCATTGATATTTGAGTTATAAATGGACACTGGTGGATTGATCACTCTCTGTTTTCATATATTTCCTAGGTAGGAGCCCTCTGCTCTACATCCCTGTGCTATGGCTTTTTGCTGCTTTTGGTGGCTTCTTTCTCCTTTTCTTTTATTCTTCTTAACAGGGCCATTCACATAATGAGGCAGCCTGAGGCGTCTCCTTAGGCGGCATCTCATTAGGGGGCAGCAGGTGTGTGTGTTGGGGGGGGGAGGGCAGTTGTGGCATTACTCTACTGCATATAGGGTAGGGAAGGCTCTGCTCCTTAATGTAAAATAAATAAAAACTTGAAAATTCCCAACTCGAAGAGTAATATACCCTTGAACTGGCCACAAAGGGAGGGTGATGCTGAGGTAGACATTTCAGTAGATGAGTCCCTAAGAGGTGAAATAAATCTGTGAGTGATTCAAACTCCCAGCATCTACCACAATTTAACTCCTGACATCTACCACAATTTAACATATCAGTTTTAAGTGGCCTGACTCTTTGAGTTTGAAATGCTGACATTTTCTAATGCTGGTAAGACTTAACTCCTTACACTGAATTGTGACACTGAGCTTTTACAAGTGACTCTGTGTTTTAATTTTTTTTTATTTTTTTCGCTTCAAGGAGTGTAGTTGGTCTCGGTGTCTTAAAGAATAAGTGCATTTTTAGTGCACCTATCCTTTTCAACACTCCTTCCATCCAGCAGAACGTTCTGTGTGTATTATACAGTACTTATTACTTATATTTTCCCAGTTTTTTTGGCTAAAATTAGGTGCCTCGGCTTATATTCGGGACGGCTTATACTCGAGTATATACGGTAACTACACCAACAGTGTTCATTGATGTGCAATGTGCAGCCTGCTTGAATCTGCACATCCTCTGCCTAAAATGTTTAATCATTAAGGCTGGGTTCACACCTAGGCGTATCGAATATGCGCATTTGTCGGTAAAAAAAACGCGTGACAAACGCGCGTTTCCGAGCACTACCTGGCTGTATCCCAATGGATATGCGAGGCAAATACGCCCCAAATAAGATCCTGTACTTCTTTGGGCGTAGGGCGTTTTGTAGTGCGTTCATACGGCCTGTAATACGCCCAGGTGTGAACCATACCCATAGGAAATGATGGGATTTCGGTGTTTGAGCGTTTTGCAGAGCGTGGGAACGCGCTACAAGACGCCCAGGTGTGAACCGGGCCTAAAGCAGTACATGCATGTCACCACCTCCATCCATTTCAGTGGATTCACAGCCAGACAAAGTGCCACATGCACAAATACAGCTTGGCATTCTTTTGTAGTATAGATAGGCCAAACAGTGAAGATCTCAGCACAGGATGTTGCAAGTAAGTACAATGACAGCCAGAGACACCAAGTGGCCCCTGTTTAAGTCCATTGTTTTGGTCCCCCATTGAACTACTAGCCAAGTAAAAAAACTTATTTACTGTATATCAATTAACAGCTAAATACATTAGCTGTGTCCTGGTCTATAAGTCAGTTGGATTGGGGTCAATCACCCAGCTGACCCACATCTATTTTACTGTAAATTGTCCCCTAAGTCTCAGAAAGGCCTTGTCTGCACAATTCTTGTAGTGATGAGGAGAGAGTCGTACCACAGCATAAAATCTTGTCACATCCCAAAGATTCTCAATGGAGTTAAGGTCTGTGGTGGCCAATCCATGTGTGAAAATGATGTCTCATGCTCCCTGAACCACTCTTTCACAATTTGAGCCAGATGAATCCTAGAATTATCATCTTGGAATATGTCCGTGGCATCAGGGAAGAAAAAACCTATTGATGGAAAACCAGCACTGGGCATCCAGTCGGACCCACCTGAAAAACTGACAGGGACACCCGGTCGGACTGCCCATCTGAAAGAAGCCTAAAGGTCCCCACACACCTTACGATAATCGTACGATAATCGCGGGAAATCCCACGATCGTACGATTATTGTAAGGTGTGTGGAAGCCGTGCGACCTCTACTACTGTAAGGTCGCACGACTTTAAACTTACGGACATGTTTCTAAACCCGCCGAGCATGGTATGATGTTCGGCGGGTGTGTAGCATGTTCGTGAGATAAAAGCCGGACAGGCCGGTGTGCGCAAGCGCACACTGCCTGTTCGGCATTGCGGTCAACGGAAGCCCGCCCCTCAGGGGGCGTGGCTTGTGATCATCGCAAGTACGATCTGCCTATGCAACATAGGCAGATTGTACGTTTTTTTAAGTGCCTTACAACCATCGCAAGACAAAAGTCTTGCGATGGTTGTAAGGTGTGTGCCCAGCCTTACAGGCTCAAACTGCTGTACCTCCAGTAATGTAGTGCCATCTCATTTAATTGAATAAAGTGCAGCCAAGGATGTTAGAATGGGGAAAAAAAGACATACATGAAAGAGAAAAAAAATTAATTACAGAGGCAAAATAAAAGTTTGAAAACCTCTGCACTATAACAAGATAAAGACACTAAATGTTTGCAATGATACTGAATACATTATTAAAATGTTTCAATAAAAATGAATTTCAGAACATATCAATGAGAGAGATGTCTGTAATGCAGTTGATCCAGAAAAAGACGTTGATGGATTTCATATTGTAAATATTGGAAGACTCTGCTTAGATCAGTCATCTATTATTCCTGCTACAGCCGCTGCTGTTTGGGAAATTATTAAAAGAACAGGTAAGATAACAAACTACTTTATAATGTATATAGTATGTACTGCACACCTAATAATATTATAAGTGCAACTGAAGTGTTGTGGATGTTAGTTCTGGGTGAAGTGGAAAATAAATAGTACACCTGTCTGTTTTTTTTGCGGTCTGTGTCCCCGTTAGGGAGATTAACCCCTCTATTTGTCCTGCTGACCTGAAAGTAAAAGAAAATCTAAAATTTTGGCTTGTCATCAGGACAGAAATAGAAGGGAAATCTTCCAATAGGGACATTAGGTGACCCTGACCCTGGTTCTGGTGACCTTGCTGATCTCCAGTGATTTCTCTCTCTTTGAATGGATTATCTCTCACTTCCTGTTGTGGCTATTAGTCAGGAAGTGAAGGGAAATCTCCCCAATGGGATGAAGATGGTGAAAAAAAAAGCTGACGGGTTAAAACTCCCTTGCTCTATCCACAACTAAAAAAAATCATTTTGGCTAAAGTTCTACTGTAATTGAGCTAATACATATTACTGTCTGTGTTTCCACCAGGGATATTTTTCTTCACTTCACCACTGACCACCTGTCACAGAGCAGGAAGTGAGGGAAACTTCTCATCGGTTCTTTCCCATGCTAAAAATTGTTATTAATGTCCTTGTTATAGAGATCACACCTTACTTCCTGTCCTGTTGACTAACTGTAACTAGGACAATAAATTAGGGTAAATCTCCCACATAGGGTCATGGATTAATTCCTTCCTCACTCTGTCCAAAACAAGAAAAAAATTGTGGCCTTAGATCCACTTTGAAGGTATTTTATCAGTCTCAGTAGATACTCTGCTAATATATAAATGGAATCAAAAAGCAGAAACTGCCTTCTGTTTTGCTACTGATCTTTACAGCCGCTGTAATTACTGAAACTACAAATTCCCATTAACATGCGTAAGACATGTGTAAGTCTGCATGATATCTTCAGAGGCTGCCATGTATGAAAGCTCCAGGTCTCATAAGCAAGACTTTTGCCAAAGGGTGCACTAGGACATGAATGAAGTGTTTTGCAACATGTTGTGTATTTTAGATGTCCTGTATGTTCCAGTACATGACCCAAGGGCTGCCATCGAGATATTACTTTGCTAACCTTCCTGAAATGTCACATGAAGACTTTTCTTTCAGCTTTCCTTTCTCTGAATGTTTATCCCTTTTCATCTTGGAATAGAATCTGGAGAACAGGCATGAACCATACCTACAGATAGCAAGAAGGAATAACGTTTCACATCACCTCAGCATACAGCTCTGCATGCTGATATGAAATAATCTTACATTGATTAGTTAAACAAACATATTTTCATTTTACTAATAATTTCTTTTTTTCTACTTCCTGGTCTACTTGGACACAAACAATGTAATTTTGCTAAAGCATTGCATCCTGGGAAGGTTATATCAGGTTACATCAGCAGTGTACATCAGCATTGCTGGGAAATCTCATCTGTAATCTCACAAGATCTCAGGGAAAGGTATTTTCCCCCTCTGAGATGATGTGTATGGTAACATGTCCTAGTCACATGTGCTGGGTTATTCACAAAGGAGCCGAAGGATCCAGTTGTAGCTTCGGCTGATCCTTCGGCTTTTTTCTGCCTCCGGAGCCCTTCGGTTTAGTCGAACCGAAGGGCTGCTGTATGGGCTATTCACTATAGCCCATACAGCAGCCGAAGGTGACCGAGCGGTTCAGCCGAGCCGAAGGAATATGCTTGAGCCGACTGAGCCGAAGTGACACCCGAAACGGGGCGAATGGACGTGGCGAAGGCCCAGTTGTAATGACAGATCAGTGTCCCCAAATGACCATGGTCATTTGGGGACGCTGTTCAGTCATTAAACAATAACAATCACGGCCTGCTCTGCGCAGTTGTTATTCTTTGGCCGGGACCTGCTAGAAGACTCTAGAATATTAGGAAACAGTTGGGCAGAGCTAGCTGTCACTTCTAGCCCTACCCAATTTTTATTTTATTTTTTTTTTAAATCTTTATTTTTCATTTTAGTATTTATTTACATTTTTTAAATATTTTTTAAACCTTTTTTCCCCTACTTTTTTCACTATTTTCTATTCTGCTTGGTACCACGGAGGTACCAAGCAGAATAGCCGAGCCGATTGCTGCTCAGCGGCATTCGATTATTCACTCACTGTCGCTCGGCCCCTATGTGATCTTCGACTCAAGCTGCCGGAGCTTGAGTCGAAGAGCATGTATGACTGAAACCGGCTGTACTGAGCTGTAGTGAATAGCCGAACGGTGTTCGGGTTACTTAACTTCAGCTGAGTTATTCACTCGGCTGCCTTCGGCAGCTTTGTGAATGACCCCCCTAGTAAACTATCCTTAGTTAAAATGGCTACTGTGAGAAAAATGGAGAGGAAAAGAGAAATAAGGTATGCAAAGAATACAAAGCCTGCTATTCTGACTCCGATTGTTGTGATAGCGAAATATAATGGCACACCTGCAATTATCTAGAAGTATGTGTTTGTAGATTGTCATTACTAAACATTTCTAAAGGTGCCTATATTGTTATTTTGCATAAAGTTCCTCTTCAAGTATATTTTTCATGGTGCTATCTCGCACACTCCACTCAATCAAACATTCTTAACCAACAGGAATGGAAGCAAAAAAAAACTCAGGAATTAAATCTTAAAAATGCATTCAAGTAGCTTAACTATTAACAAAATTGTATCTTATTTGTGTATCACTCGGCTGTGTTTACTATAGAAAACTCAGAAGTTTTACAGCAGGATAGGTCAGTGTTTATTTTTAAATACATTATGGATATGACTGAGTTTACATGCATAACTTCTTATAAATCCAAATGATGTCTTGTGCTTTTTTTTCTATATAGTCCTGTAACACAATATTATTAGTACTTTTTATCCATGGAAATGTACATCCGTCTCACACTACTGTACTCTATGTTGACGAAGATGAGTAATGGAAACATCAGTCATCGCAAGCATGTAGTGCCGTGGATGAGAGTGTGGGTGTCTGACCATTTAAATATTTTGCATCTTACCAGTCCTTAAATGAAGTGGCTGCATTAGTTTTTTTGTCAGGCTTTCCCCCTTTATTTTCACCTGGTGATGTTGTGAATAACACACTTCATGTCCCTGCACGGCTACATTCACTCCTCCACTGCATCTAGGGAGGGGGCCATGGCTGCCACCCAGGCTGGACTTCACAAGTTCGCATTTGTTTATCTCCATTACATGGGAGGTGGGGACTAGTAGTTGAGAAAAGGAAGCTAACACTTCCAGGTTGGCTCAAAGGAAGTTACTAGAACTAGCAAAATCAGCAGGTATTATTTGTACTTGCTGAAATGTTTTACCCTGAAAATAGAAAACTAATATGGCCACAATATCTAAAGACTGGTGAACTAAAATATATTACACTTTTGTTCTTGGGTTAAGTTATCACATTATGGCATGTGTGTAAGTGTAATAGGGTATTCCGTGTCCGGCGCTTGGGGCCGCGGGCCGGCATCTTCACCCATCGGCGTGACGTTAAGAGGAGACCGAGGCGGCGCAAGGCGCGCTCGGCTCCTCCCCCTCTGGGATCCTCCTCCTCATAATGACGCGAGTTGCAATGGCTCGCCGTTCTAGTGTTGCGAACGTCGAGCCAGTGCAACTTGCCTGATAGCGAAGGACAGGTGAACCATCAGCATTGACGACAGCCTGCCACTCACCTCAACCGAAAACCCTCCTCTTACCATCGGGTGCTCCACAGGGATCCTTCCCTGCTCTCCTCTGACTCCTCATTGGGCTTGCCTCTGGGATCTCTCCCTGGAACTGCCAGGACTTCAAATAGCAGCCCTGGACCAGCTACTGGACTATTAACCCATCTTTAACTGCAAGTACTCTGCCCTAGAGGCTGATCTATAGAAAGTGTCAGCAATTACTCTTGTGCACCTGATTTAAAGTGATACCTGTGAACTGCTACTCCATTACAAATGGTATGCTAATACTATTACTGCGCTTCTTATGCAAACACATCTCAGTGGTCTCCGTGGAGAGTGTGGGGTTAAGGTGACTGCATTTACGCATACGAATCATACCATCTAGAGGCTGCTGGGTTACCACATAGATATATAGGAGTACTGCTGTGCATACCTATAGGGGACCTCCAAACCCCCATCCTATACTGTGATTGGCGTATGATGTGCTAGAGGGTTACAACATCACTCCATACCATACAGAGTGTAAACGGGAACCCTCGATCTGAGCCAATTCACATACACAGGTGCCTAGCCAATTTCCACTGCTGCGATCCAACCTAACCTCCTTGGCTCGAGCGTTACAGTAAGTGAGCAAAGAAAGGGAGCGGATAGAGTTTTTCTTTTGGTTGTTTTTGTACCACCTTCGTAACAATTTTAAAAGCATAAAATATACCTTGTTTTTTATCTTTTTAAAAAGGCATAGAAACATTTGGCAAAAATGTTGTAGTTGCAGGAAGATCGAAAAATGTTGGCATGCCTATTGCTATGCTGTTGCACACAGATGGCAGACATGAGAGACCTGGCGGTAAGTATGACATTTTCTTATAAACATGAGTGATGTATATCAAAGTGGACTTAGATTTGTATAAAGGACTAAACTTAACTGTACATGGAATTAATGATCTGTATCAGTCTTACAGGTCTATTCACAAAAAGGTGAAGAGTTTGGAGAAGACAGGAGAAGGGAACAATCTGGGCCAAAATAATTGATTTGGAAAAATTCTCCAATTCAGCTCACTTTCCAGTTCCGCTCTGTTGTCCTAGATCGTTCACTTTTCCTGCCTTCTCCAAACTCTTCACCCTTTTGTGAATAACCCTGTTAATATCTTTTCTGGATAATGGCTTTACTGTCCTTACTAGCACAACATGTTCTAAAAATTGAATGGAAGTCTCCCTCCAGGACCACTTAAGTGTGGTATACACAGTTCTAATCTTTTCGTTCAACCCATAGACTGAACAAAACAAAATAGAACAGATGCCTCCATTAACACTTAAGAACGTTGATGGATGAATCCCCCTCAATTGAGAATTTTCCAGCCACCTCATTTAATCAACTGATCGAGGGATGCCGACAGTGGCACCCATGGTATGAATTTCGGCTGGTTTATCAGGAACTGGCCAAAATTTGAACTGTTTGTACCCCACTTTAGTTGAGGCTTAGTTAGAGTGGTGGCACAAGTGCATATTCGTGGGGCTGAGTGAAACTGTGTCAGTGCATTGAGGAAGAATATCCTATGAGCATCTTCAATTAGTAAATTACAAACTTCTAGATCAATATGGTTATTAGGAGTAGGATAGAAAATGAAATATAGAAATACATATTTCTCTTTAGTTTTTGACAGTGGACACCGTATAATAGATTATACGTTAAAGCAAACCTGCTTCAAATGGAACATGGAAGCTTCCATTGCTGACCTCTTCTTCTGAAAATGCTAGCTACCCATCTGTCATGCTGAACCCTTTGCTTCAGTGCACTGACCTAAAACAAACATGTAAATAGTGACTTACTGTATTACCTCTAGTGTTTCTGGCCTGCAAACTTGTCCCAGGTAGTACAGTGTACTACTACTACCACCACTACTACTACTACTACTACTACTACTACTACTACTGCTACTACTACTAATAATCCTTTATAGGAATCCTTTATAAATATAATAATCCTTTATAGTACAGTAAAATTAGATACGATGAAAATATTAGGATGACAGTATTGATAACATTATTATTTCTTTTAAGGTGATGCAACTGTAACAATTACCCACAGATATACTCCAAAAGATCTACTGAAGAGACACACTCAGCTAGCAGATATTATAATTGTGGGAGCAGGTAAAAGCTTTTATTCTTTCATATTGTTCATGCTATTGCTTTTTTTTTTTACAAGTTTAAAAACTTGTACAGTATTACTAGTTTCACTAATGTTGTTTCACTCAATTACCCCATCCATGCTAAACAGCATGGATGTGCAAATCTCCTCCACCGCGCAGTTGGTGTGCTGCTGTCAGAATACGCAAACAGTGACTGTAGCTAATTGTAGAGAATTTTCGGATCAGCTCCTTCATCAAAACTTGATTGATAACTAGGCGTTTAGCACCTCTGGTGCAAATCTGTTAAAGTTTGCTGCCCAGGCGCAGGGGTCACAAAAACACTGTTTAATTGATTTGACTACATGAGGGGTAGCCTGATTTGCATCTCATTGTGTTGCCAATTTGCTCGATAATTGTCCTACACTGTTCCCTAGCTCTCAGCCTGCTTTCAATCTGCAGTAAGATAAAACTGCCCCTATTTACTATTTATAATTACCATCCACACATAGGAACAATGTCTTTGCACAGTAACTCATAACTTATAAGATTGTTTACATTACATTGTTTAGGATTGTATAGTTTATATGTATATTTAACTACCTGCTGTCCGGCCGTTGTAATTAAATGGCCGGACAGCGGCTTCTTGAGGGCGGGTGGGTGTCTTTAGACGTCCTATCCCATTCCCACCGCTAGGCGGCGCACACGAGCAGGAAACCGGCTTTGAATGTAAACAGCCAGCGATGGCTGTTTACATACAAGCGTTCGGGCGTCTGTAGAGGCGCCCGATCGCTTGTAATATGCGGTCGGGTGTGCTCCTCCCCCCCCTCTGTCGCCGCTGCTGCTGGTGATCCCGATCCCTGATGTTTCCATAAAGAGGACCTGTCACTGCAAATTGGCTATCACCTATGTGATAGCAATAAAGTTCAGTGGAAAAAAAAAAGGTTTAAAAAAATTTGTTACCTAAAAAATTAAAAATCACATATCAAAGCTTTTTAAAGTCCCCCGCCCCCACATGCACACGCAAACATGCGTCAAGCCCGCATATGTGCAAAAATGCCGATTACATCCATTGCGCCGCACTTGTTACATATCGCGCGAACGTCGGAATCAGAGCAATAATTCTAGGGTCATCAATCACTGATAACACTAAACTGATGAGCGGTAAAAGCTTTTAAAGCGTCGGCTATGGTCAATTTTGAGTATGGTAGTTTTTTTTCGATTTAACGGGTGCGCGCAATTTTAAAGCTTGACATGTTTGGTGTCTATTTACCCGACGTAACCCCGTCTTTTATATACAGGCAAAGAGGGCAAAGAGCTCAAAAAGCTTGTGCGTTATCTAAGTGAGACCAGACGACAAAAAAGAGGGGTAATGTATGCACTCACAAAAGACCAGTAAATGTGGGGGCTCGACACGGAACATCACTTGTGAAGCTGAAAAATCTTCCATTTCTCTGTGGGATGCATCAGCTCAGGAAGTAGGTTCAGCGATTAACAGCCCTCTAAAGCAGCAAATAACTCGTCATGTACAGTGTACGTGACAAGTCATTTGGTCCCTTTGTGGCTGGACGTACAGTGTACGTCTCCCGTCACGAAGGGGTTAAACACAAAAGCATAGAATGCACTCACAGCAGTGGTGGGTATACATGGTTTTGAACTGTGGAAGGTACACTGGTTGTCCTCAAGCCAGTCCTGACCACCATATGGAAGCGAAACAGCTTCTCCTCAGTCACAGGAGTCGGTGAAGCAGGCGGTAGTTGGTGAGATGCACTTGCGGAGCAGCGTGGGTTCAGGAAATCATGGCAATGCGTTTCAAGGCCTCTTTTTCAAGCCTCTCACTCCTGTTGTTTTGCTTTTCCGTTTACATTTTAAATTTAGGGTGATGTTTCCACCTAACTTCTGAGCCAATGATTGTCCCAGTGAAATCAAAGATTTTTCTGCTTCACAAGTGATGTCCTGTGTTGGACCCCCGCAGCTGATGCATATGCTGGCCTTCACCTGTCTTTTGTGAGTGCAGACATTACTCCCCTTTTAGGGATGCACAGATACCAAGTACCGTAAGAAGCAATGGCTACAGGTTTTTATAATTTGTTACATTATATATATATATTAGGGATGTCCCAATGCCACTTTTTCAGGCCCAAATACAAGTACATCCCCTCATGTACTTGCCGATACCAATTACCGATACTTTTTCTTAAAGGGACAGGTGACTTTAAATGATCCATAGTACAACTACATGTTATGTACTACGGATCATGGTTAAACCTATTCATGTTAGCAGTTGAGAATTGTAACTCTATTGCTGGAGTGTAATGGAGGTGTATGCTGTATATATGTACTACATATACATTACACACATCCAGTACACTATAGCAATAGATATACAGCCAGCCCCGTCCCAGCTTCCCTCACTTACAGTTTCACTCCGATCCCTGTTGCCTCACGCGGTGCCTCTCGTAGTCGGCGCTGGGCAGGATCGCTGCATCGCATCTCGGTGCTCAGCTTGTGGGAGGCGCTCACAATTCTGCCCTGCTAACATGAATAGGTTAAATCATGATTCATAATACATATACAGCACACATGTCCTGTACACTGCAGTAATAGAGTTACAATTATCCACTGCTAACATGAACAGGTTAAATCATAATCCATAGTACATAATAGTACATAACATGTAGTTGTACTACGGATCATTTAACCCATTCATGTTAGCAGGGGATCATTGTAAATCTATTGCTGCAATGTATGGGACATTTGTGCTGTATACGTACAGTACATATAGATATACAATTCTGCACTGCTAACATGAATGGGTTAAATTATCCGTAGTACAGGGCTACATATCATGTACTGCGGATCATTTAACCCATTCATATTAGCGGGGGATAATTGTAAATGTATTGTTGCAGTGCATTCTATATGTACTATGTAGTATATAGTACTTGTACATATAGAGTGCCTGCAACAATACATTTACAATTATACTCTGCTAACATGAATGGGTTGAATGATCCACAGTACAGGGCTACATACAGATAATGTAATTCATTCATGTTAGCAGAGTATAATTGTAAATGTATTGTCTGCACTGTATGAGCAGTGTGTACTCTATATGTACTCTGTAGTACATATAGAGTATATACTGCTCATACAGTTCAGACAAAATCTGCCCTCACTCACTGTGCCGGAGAGAGCAGGGACGAGTCAGCAGCAGCACTGGTCCAGTGGGAGGAGCTCCAGGTGGGGTCCTAATTTAGCTGGCTTAGGAGGTGCCTGCCAGCTAAATTAGAACCCCACCTGGAGCTCCTCTCGCC